TTTGGGATATTTGCTTATACATAGATATTTTCAGAAGCAGACCCAAGTCTAAGCACAAAATTCATTTATGTTTCATATATACCACATACAAAAGGTGAAAGGTAATTTTATACAACATTTTCAAATAATTATTGATGTGAAACAAGGTTTGTATACATTAAACACTCAGAATGCAAAGGTGTCACCATCCCAGCCACCTGGGTGGACAGCCTGGTGTTATTTTTCATCACATCACTCCTGATTCCGAAATTATGTGCTTGCCATAAGCAATCACCTTCTTATACTTAGTCATGCATGTAAAAATTACAACATGCCATTAATACAGAATCCTCTAGGAATGCTGATTAGACTGTGTGTTGTGGACCTCTTTTGAGTTCAATCCATCACATGATGTGACGTGCAAAATTTTCCACTTGTGGTGTCATGCTGCCACTCACTCGGATTTGGGCTCCTCTCATTCAGAGAAGAGATACTCAACCTAGATGTCTAAATCCATTCACTTCCTCCCTACGACCCCCACCTCCAGGCCGAGTCTCACTGTTTCAGTTCTCCACCTCAGCCTTTTGAGTCGCTAGACTACTGATGGGAACACCAACTGTTAGCTGAGCTGAGAATCTAGCACAGGCCTCCCGTGTGACCTTAGCCTACTGAATAGCTGCACTACTACCAAACTGGGCCTCTTGACCCCTTTTTATTGGTTCAAGCTGCAGGCATTCGTTAATACCATACACTACTTTTAGCATAAGATTTCTATGACATAAGAGTTCAAAATCATACTGGCATTTTGAAGATCATAGAAAGCAAATCTTATTTCATCCTTTAATGTATTTGGGGATTAAGAAAAAAAGAAAATGTTTTTGGACTGGCCTATAGCACAGTGGTTAAGCACAATGAATTGGGAGTAAGATTCCCACATGGCTGACCACAGTTCAAATCCCAGCTGAAAAACATGCCAAGTGCATGTGTGTGCACGATCAAATTCCTGATGGGAAGGAGAAATGGAGAAAAGGGGATTGCACTGTGGCCATGCCCCACTGGAAGGCGTTTCTC